AGCCCTCGGAGGAAGGACACGGGGGTGGGCGACCCGGGGTGCAGCTGCTATAACACCAGTTATTGCGGCTCCCAGGGCTTCGCTCTTTAACGCCGGGCGCTGAGCCGCCCGCCGCAGCACTGCGCGTTACGGAGGGTACTCGGCAAACGTGTGCTTACTTGCCTCGGAGTTACTGCGATCGATCCGTCTTCCCCTCAGCCTCCAACGAGGCAGCCTCGGGAGCTGGCAGGTATTGGTTCTGGTAGTTTGCTAAAGAAGCTTTTCAGTGTGTAACAAATAGCAGCAATAACGATTTCCTACAGATTCTTCTCCTGTAAGGGGAGGAAAGCAAGTACTATGTTTCCTGCGCATCATCTGTGCACGACGCACAGCAGATCATCAAACCCAAGATGCAGCACTGCTGTCATTTCTGTACATGCTGTATGAAGAGATTGGTTCTCTTTGGCTCAATGTTGTGTTATTGGCAAGGCAGCACAGAGTAACAGTCCAGCATTGGTTTAATGCTCCTGAAAGTCCTTGTTTTTCACTGAAGCATTGTTTGTTCGTTTGTTTTGAAACAGGTGGAATGGCATCCCAGTCTTTTAGATGTACCTGCTCAGACTAAGTTTGATTACATGGTGACTGACCTAAATGGAGGACCTCGACCTCCCTCACGCTATGAGGAGCAATATAAAAAGACCACATTCAAGGTGAGGCTGTCTTTCACGTTGGTTTCGTGTTCCCTCTGTAGACTTGTTTATTTCCATATTCCACTGGAGACCCTTCCTTTTCTTTGCACTTAGGGTGGTGCAATTGCGGGACAGCTGACAACAATAGGGATGCAGCAGATGTTTGCCCTGGGGGAAAGGCTGAGGAGAAGCTATGTGGAAGAAGCCAACTTTCTCTCACCAACATTTAAGCCTGCTGAGGTTTTGTGAGTCTCTCGGTTCCCTCCTGGCCCTGCCCTCGCTTCCTCACTCCTAACGAGTAGCCCTGTGCTAGGGAAACTTTCTGATCAGCATACCCTTCTCCACCCTATAGCAGACTGGCTGGCTCCTGCACCTTCATCTTTGCTCAGCCTGCCAGGCCCAGTACAAGAACTCACTCGTGACAAAAAGCATCCAATTCCCCAACAGTCCTGAGAGTGATGCCAGGGATAGATTCATCTCGCCTAGGTTTAGCAATTGACAGCAGTATTATGCACCTTTATGGTGAGTGAAGAGAAACAGGCATTTCTGGAGCACAGTTTAACTCACAGTAGATTAAATAGCTGAAGTTCAGTGAGATGAAGCACACTCCTGCTGCTCACATCAGTAATGCTGGGAATATCTGGTTTAGGATGAGATAAAAATTACACCAGAGAAGTGCCAATTTGTTATCCCCACTCTCTGAAAGGAAGTTAAAGGGCAGTTCAGATATAGGTGCCTATTTAAGGTGTCTGTAGGTGTCTGTAGTGAGGCAAGATGAATCCCACCACAGGTTTCCAAAGCCACGGTGAAAGCAGAACCCTTAGCTGCAGCAAGTCCTCCCCAGCTGCAGCCGCACCCCATGAAGGAGAAAGTGCTACCTCACGAACTGCCTTCTCTCTTTCAGCATCCGTTCCACTAATATTTTCCGGAATCTGGAGTCCACACGGTGCCTGCTAGCTGGGCTGTACCAACAGCAGAAAGAAGGTTGGGGAGACTTCTGACCAGTGCCTTTCCTTTCTCAGTCTTCCCTAGATGCACACACCTTGCACAATCCAATTCTCTCTGGCTCCTGGTCGTTACTCCTTCCCCGGTTCTTCACGCCTGGCCCTCTTCCCCATACTCTCTTGGTTCTGTATGTTCTTTATCAACTTGTCATTTGCTCTCTCTCTTTGTGTAGCTTTCTGCTGGTGCTCAGCTTGGATCTGTTGCCATGAATGCTGCAATTTCAGACCTACAGAGGAAGTTAGCATTAACCCACTTCACTATCAATAAGGCAAAACTTCCAGGTCCAATGTTCATCTGAAAAGTTTCTCAGAAAAACCCAAGTATCTCAGCCATAGGAGTACCAAGACCCTTTACATGTTTGGTATCTGGATTAACTTTCAGCTGTATCCTACAGTTGACTACTTGTACGTCCTAGAAATACGCTCTGGGTTTTGAAGATCTCGCCTCTGCTCCCTCTGTATTCAGTTCCAGGAACAAATAGCAGAAGTGACTTGCCAGAGCTCCTTATACCTCATGACACAGAAACTAATTTTTGTCACATACAAACACTAGAAAAAACAAACACACAACTATAAAGCTTTACAAGGTGCACAGCAGATATCCCTGTGGAATTAAATGCTGTGTGCACAGAAACAAGCACAGTGGCTTGTGTTGCAAGTGATAGCTCAGGGGGAATTGCTAGTTGACAACAATGGACTTGAGCAAAAAGACTGTGGGAGTGATTAAACCAGTCTAAAGACACACAGATGCACTAGTGATCACAGAAGCTTCCTTCTCGTTCCACAGGATCTGTTGTCATTGTCACTGATGAAGCAAGCTCTGAAATCCTCTACCCCAATTACCACAACTGCCAGCGCCTGAAATGCTTGAGCAGGTAATTGCCAGCCATACCTCCCCATATGATTTCACTGCTGTTTCATTTCAGCAGTAGTAATTTAAAACAGCATGTTTTCTTCCCATTTCCCAATTTCTTCCCCTGCCACTTACTGTTCTTTGGGAAAGGTTAGCTAGTTGTATAAAATACTCGGTGAGCAGAGTCATATACCAAACAGTGGCACCAGAAGAAAAAAAATACAGAGACTTTTTCTTGAAAGACCAATTTAATTTAGTCTGTGTCTAGCAAACACTCATTACCAGCTAATGTACAGCTATTCTGCGGCATTGCTGCAGGGCAGAATTAATGTCATCTACATCCCTTAACACACCTTTCAGGTGTGAACAATTTGGGCCTCCTTTTTATATTCAGCTTCTGGTTTGGGGCTTATTATAACATTCCTGTCACATTTATACCTGAAATATACTCAGCTTTGACACATGTGACAAAGACTAATGAAGTAAAGTAAGGAACATCCTACATAGAAAGAACACTCATGTTTGCAGGGTCAAGTAAATGCCTGTGCCAGGTTGGACACTGGGTGGAAACTGAACAAGAGAGGCAAATGTGTTACAGTTTGGTTGGATTGTACACCAGCATATTTTTGTCCAAAATTGAAGCTTTGTCAGAATTCACTTGCAAAAGCTCATTATGTAATGCTTGACTCTGTGAAGGGTTATTCTTGACAGTGGTGAGGTGATGGCCCATAGAAGCAGACCTACTCCTCTAGTAACATCAACTGTCCAAAAAAGGAGTAAACTGCAAGCTCTTCCGCTCCCTTCCCCCAGCCCACCAACTGAGCACATTTTGTGACCACGTGAAGGTGGATTTTTTTAAGCTGCAGTAAGAAGCGCTGCCTCAGCTTACAGGCTGCCTATGCCAGAACTTCTAGCACATTTGATTTCAAACAGAAACTAGAGCTGTTTCTAAAAAAATAAAAAGCAAGCTTAAAAAGCTTTTCCCACCTCCTCCCCAACAGATCAGGGTCAGGGAAAACAAAACCTATGCAATATATTCTGCTTGAAGTACATGGCCAGCATGGATATTCTCAGCTAAACTTTCTAAAATAAAATTTAAAACAGTGTAAAGAGGCAAACGGCTTCTAACGAAGCAAGAAGTCAATTTACGCTAAAAGTGAGTATCTAGGTGTTTCCCTTTTCCCATACCATACAGCAATCCGTTCAAAGCTTCTACCCTTTCTTTTTTCATAAGGCAGTTAAAGGCTACTTCCTAAAGACACAGACTTCTACTGTTCCAGTATGACCAGATCTGTTAACTGATACGCAGCCCTTGCTTATGGGAACCACTTCTGAGGTGTTCACATCTCATCTTAATTTTTTTCCCCCACCTCTGTGCGAGCAGATAGCCAGCTCCGATCCTTGACGCCTAGACACAGTGTCTGTCCGCTCTGCAACTTAGACTCCCAACATCAGGAATCCCTCAGTATCCTGTGGTGCTTCTCTTCTACCCCTCACTGATGTGAGACAACTCCACTGGGCTGGGGTCACAAAAAACCCCAAAAGATAGAAAGTCTGATGTGTGAACAGTTTTTCATTTGTTTTCTTAATTCCCTGACAGGCATAAGTTGAAGAATGCTCTGCAACAGCCAGGTATCTCTGATGACTTGAAAACAATTAAGGAGAAGATGGGTATTGATGGAGATAAGTCTGTGGATTTTTTTCTCCTCCTTGATAACATTCTTGCTGAGCAGGTGAGCTGAGCAGTTCTGTTGCACTGTCACAGAAAGAAACATCCTTTTACCATGCATATGGAGGAAACTACGGAGTGCCAACACCCACTGATACCAGTGGGTACCCCAGTACCTTTCTATGCGATCCAGAAAGTTTACAGAAATAGCATGGCCTTTTTAAAAAGCAAGATGTGGAGTCAGCCTTGCTCTAGGATGGATGAAGATGCATCTCCAGTATTTATGTTCTTACCTTGAAATGCAGTATCTCTTTCAAGGGTAATGAAGTAGAGCTAAGAGAGCAGTTGGGCCTTGCTTACCCCATTACAAAGTGCTTTCCATTCTCTGGCAGTCAGCACCTGATAGAGTCATCTTAATCCTGGGTCCAGCATTCTACCTGTGAGCCAGATTGCTTCTGCTACTGGAAGGGAGCTGGGCATATTTGTACCCCGCTTAGTACCTCTTTTTCGCTGGAGCTAATGGTAATTGGTCTGGCTGTCGCTTGAATAGCTCAAGGCGTTACACTCCCTTCACATCGAAAAGTATCCTCAAGAACGAACATCCATCCTTTTGGTACACGGAGCAAGTCTGTATGTTTAAAACCATCCTAGAACTCCTCACATGAATACCGTAGTACAGTACTGTAGTACAAATGCTGTGACATGAACAGCTGTTTTCTGTGGGCAGTCATCCATGTGTCTTCAGGCTGGGTTCAGAAAGGGTCAAACCCTATTGTTACGCTACATTTTCTCCTTCCAGGTGCACAATTTGCCAAGCTGCCCTGTGCTGAAGAACTTTAAGCAGACAGTTGAGCGTCGATCTGTTGACTCGCTGCTTTTCCTTCTGGACGACGGTTCAAGGTGATTGCCTGTATCCATGCCTCCAGCCTCAGGGATTGTCTTAGGCTTACCCAGGGAGGATGAGCTACACCACTTTACTGCAGCAGATAGAAGTCCCTTCTGATCTGATGCATTCCCCCACCAGAGGCTACTGCCCCCTCAAGAGGTTTGTGCCTCAGCCATCTCAGTGTAAAGTCCAGCGCCTTGAGTCACGAACATGAGCTAGGACAGAGGAGTCCAGATGGAAGAGGCCAAGATGTGGGCTTATGTCCTGTTTTGGTGACAGTCGTGAAGAGTAGTCTCCGAAGAACAGTAGTAAGCCACTGAGGCAGGCAGTGAATGTGCAGTTGCCACGGTTGTTTAAGTGAACCTGTGTCAAAGGCAAAAGCAGAAGAGAATAGGAGACACTTCCAGCCTGAGCACTGAGGCTGCACAGGCAAGGCTGCCCTTGCAGATGCACAAGTACAATTTGAATTCCAACCTGGGAAGTTTATCCCAGGGATGGCACCTGCACAGCTGGGCTGAGAATTGTTGATGCTAGTGGAAAAGGTGATGCCAGGCCTTGCACACATGTAACTACTTGCAAAAGAATCTGCTGCTCCATGCAGTTAATCACCTCCTCCACAGTTGTCTGTAAAGATGGCTGAGTTGCTAGCCTAGCAGCTGTTTTCCTTTCAGATTCATTCACAGCTGCCACATTCACCAGCTCTTCTCAGGTAGCAGTATAGGACTACCTTTTGTGTAACTTGTATTAGAGATCTCCCACTGAAAGACTAATTCCCCCACTCCCACAACACCTGGGAGAGCCACAGTCACACTTATCCTCCATTTCTGCTGATGTATTCATTAGGTAGAGGGAGTTTCTTCACACCAGAAGTTGTCTAAAGATCTCCTCTTTGTTCAATACAGGGATAAAAACTAATTTTTAAATATAGCCACCACCTTCTGGAATCTTGCTCCTCCCCTTCCTGACAAAGACCCCAACCACTTCAGTTGCTGTTTTGCAGTCAACTACAGTCATCTTTCTTAGCTGAAAACCATGCATCCAAAAATCACAGCTAGGGAAACAAAATAGCATAGAGAACATAAAGGAGTTTCTAGGTTTCCCTTTATGTGGGCCACACCTCATGCTTGTTAACACCCCTCCCCTCCCAATCTGCAATCATATTGGAATCTCTGCTGTGACTATGCACCTGCTGAAATAAAAAGTAACCATAGGAATTGCATTTAATAGTTCTTAGCTACACTCAATACATTATCAATTTGTAAGAGAAAAGTAGGTTCCTAGGTGTTCGTCTGAAATTATTTAATTTGAACTAGTAGATTTATTTCTGCTTCTTTTATAGAGAAGTTCTTCAGATGAGTGTTGGTCTCCTTTTCTATACGTTACAGAAGAACATTACAGGAGCAGTAGAGCCCTCATCTCCAGCTGAAAAGGGCAGGTACAGGGCAGATCTCATCCTCTAATAGTTATAAATTCTGACTCGCTGTCAGTGTGAAAAGCTGGTCCAGAAAGATGTTGAATGTGCGGGTAAAGAGAATGAGTGCTCATCTGCTAGAAAAAGCATGAGTGCTACTGGCTATCCATGGAGGAATACAGCTAACATTTTAGGTTTGGTTTTTTTTTTTTCCCTTCCCTTTTTATCAGAAAGCTCATTCTCTATGCTTCTCATGACATTACCCTTATTCCTCTCCTGGTGGCACTGGGCACCTTTGATCGCAAGTGGCCACCTTATGCTGCAGATGTGACCCTGGAACTGTATCAGCACCGGCAGTCCAAAGAGTGGTTTGTTCGCATGTCTTACCATGGAGAGGTAAGATCCCAGGAGAAGTCCATCGTACAAATCTTGGGCTTTTGGTTTTGCTGTGCGTGCATGTAAAGCTGTGAAACAAGACTTGTTCCAAGCATGCTGTCAAGCCAGATAACAGAGTAAGACACCTACAGCACATCTATGGTAGCCAAGGTATCTTTTCTGTTGAGCTGGCTATATCTAGTGTGAGTTTAGGCAAAGACTTTGAACCTCTGCCTCTCTGTGTCGTTGCCTCGACTAGCATATTTCCCTACCCCAGAATCATCAGTATCAGCAAAAAAGGGCTTTGGCAATGCACAAGATCTGTGATTTTGTCTCTTTGCCTTTGCAGGAGCAAGTGGTGAAAGGATGCAGAGCAGGTCTCTGCCCACTCGAAGAATTTCTAGAAGTTCTTTCACGGTACTCAGTCAGTCCAGAGGAGTACAATAACCTGTGCTCCCAAATGGAGGGGAATCAGGAAACTGACTCATAAATAAGTTGTCTTAAATTAAAATTAGTTTATTGTCACAATCTTTGACTATTTTTCTTTATATTCCTGCCAGCCTTCCCTATTCTAAAGATATTTTAGATGAGGGGACTTTTTCCTACTAGACACAGGGTGGCACAGTGTCACTTTTCACTGTTAGCAGCAAGATGAAAGAAGCCATGTAACAGAATGGCTCGAGTTCATTTCTGAGTGTTCACAAAAGCACAGAGAGGCTGAAAACAGCAAGGGAGAGAACAGATCTTTTTAAATTGCCCTGCTGCTTCAGGAATACGAGAGAAAACATACCTGTTCCTCGTATGCTGGGACTGTGGGATGAAGCCCAGCTTGCTCTGTGCTACTAGACTTGAGAGCTTTGACATAACAATTGCTTTTATGTATGGCGAACTGCAGAAGCCACTGTGCCTTTCCCTTTCTTTTGTCATGTTGGAGGGTTGCTCTGCAGACAGATGAACTTCCCAAATTGCATAGCATTTAGCTACCCCATCTTCTTGAGGGCATTTTTGTACACACAAAACCTCTCCAAAGGGACAGAAAGCCTCCAGACCTCTTCCCTGCACTCCTGTAATTATGGAAATTCTGCTGTGAACATGCAAAACCACCTCAGTGGGCCAAGTACAAGAACATGCACTCTTTGTGAACTCTGCTTAATGTGCTTTAAACAAGGAAGTCTGGGGAGCAGCTATTGAGTTCAGCTTTGGGCAGCGTTGCATCTATTTTGCACTTGCTGAAACAGGAATATATCAGCATAGCCAACAGAAGTACTCCTAGACGAGATGATGACACTTTTTCCTGTAAGACAGTGCTAAGGATGAGTATGTTGCCAAAATCCCCATTTTTCAATCAGTAAATAAAACTTGGATCCTGACCTACTTTTGGGGTATGTAAAGACTAAAATAGGGGGACCACTTACTAAAATGGCCCTGCAGTTTTGGTTCTATATTACCCCTTCTCACTTAGTAAAAACAGACTGCAGTGATGTTAATGTAAGTCATTGACAGATATGTGACTGGAGGCACTACAGTACCTTCTCCCTGAGAAGCGTGGGCTGGATTTACCTCTACTCTTTCATTAGCCTGCCCCCACCACAATTACATGTTGACACCACGCACAGTGAACAGAATAATTTGAATACTAAATACATTGCTGGAGGTCTCACTGAACTGCTATTAGAAGCTGTCAAAAAAGCAAACAAAACATTGTTATTTTCCACCAAGTTTTTATACAGCCTAAAAACATAATGCCATTACATAAAAATCAATGGCCTACCCTTGCTTAAGAACAGTGTGTTCTGCTCTAATCAAGCTCTCTCATATGCACGGTATAAAGTATTTGGAGAATGGTGATGGAAACATTAGGCATACAATTGCAAGTTATTTGGGAGGCACGGGCTGCTTGGGAAAGGGGTATCAGGGAGCAGCATCAGAAGCTTTGGCCATACCAGTAGACAAAGGGGGAATTCACATACCTTCTCCTAAACAAGAGCTAGGAGCACCCCCCAGCAAAACTGACCAGCAACTGGGTTAAAAATTGCAACACGGTCAAGACCCACAGAACTCGGCAGTGCGAGCTAGTGCACATGAGATTGTTAAAGGGCACTGCATTTACACTGTTAAAATAATCGTATCACTCTAGGCAGGGTAACATACATTTCAGTAACAGCAGAAGACAGGCCAGCTTCTTGGCAGCGGCTAGGAAGAAGCCTCCCCTGGGAACAGGTTACTTCATCATTGTCTCTTAGAGGGTTTCTGCAGTGCCCTCTGTGCCCCGCTCCAGCCTTACCCTTACCCTTGGTGTGGAAGTGGTTGGGCCATGCATTGGTCTCATCCCACTGAGCAACTCCATGGTAGTCGTGGCCCACAGTATGAAGGAGGAGTTATTTCTGACCACAACTAGCGTAAACAATGATTTCAGAAGAGGATTGGTGGGAGAGTGGAAGAGTGTTTTAAGACCAAAGGACCCAGGTAAGTGGGAAGTGCTGAACTGCAAACACTCAGCATGGAACAGCTGAGGCATTTCTGAGCACATGGAATAAAAATTTCCAGAAATCAACCGTTTCCCAAGGAACCAGTCATTTACATGAATAGGCCAACTCTTTGCAAGAGCTGGGAAAGACACAAATCCCAGAGGACAGAAAGAGAAACCCAAAACTTTCTTACCCTGGGCTGTTAATATGAGAACTGCTGACATGAGCAGCTGACATACTCAACCTCAGGTTCCCTCAAACTTGAGCTGGAGCTGCTAACCCAAGTTAGTCTGCCTCCCTTGCTATTTCAGTCCAATGCAGTTAACACAGGTTGGTCAACTTAAGCCTAAAAGACTTTTTTTTTTTTTTCATTTTGCATTGCAAACCTATCCTCATATAGTATGTTTCATTTAAGGCAATGTTAGTATAGTAGGTAATTGGCAGGAAAGATGTTAACTTCAATTTAGGGTTTTGTTTTCTCCTCATGTAAAACATCCTCTTTTAAGAGGCGTCTCTTTTAGTACTCAGACCTCTTAAGAGGTATACTCTCTTAGTATCCCAGACAAAAAACAGCATCACTTTTCTTTCCTGCCTCATGCTCTGACTCAAACCAAAACAACCGTAAGCTTAAAACCTGAGTGCGTAATGAGCCATGAGGACCTACATCTCGTCACGAAAGATTTGCTGGTTGAAAGTCCAAAGGAGATCAAGAGGATAGTGAGCTTGGTATATTTGCCAATAAACCCAACATAATAAAGCTAGCAGTTTGGGTTTGGGTCTTTTTAAGGCCTGAAGAACACCCCTGATAATGCACTTTAACCTTAAGCAGAAAGAGCATGATAAAGCTAGGTGTAACACAGCTACCACAACAAACAGCATTAACAAATGATTGGAAACTATGTGGACTGGCTAAAAACCGAAAAAATCTTTCAGTTAGAGGTCACCTCGCCAGAAAGATGACACAGCACATATGCAAGACAACTTACCTTTTTTAGGTTATGAATTACTATCAATCAATACAGTGAAGTGCGCTCTACTAAATACAGAGTATATCAAACATGGATCATTTCTCCTCGAGAAGTATCAAAATAGGGAACAGGTTTCAGCCAACAGCCTGCCAAGGCTGCACGAGGAAAGCATTCACCATCGTGAGTGCAGAGGAGGACCACCAATGAAACGTAGCCTTTTCTGCCACCAGAATGAAAACCAGCATAGTAGATGGTCAGCATACCAAGCACTGCAAAATTAAGCTCTGTGTATACCGTATTTGTAATAGCCCCAACACTCTGGCACAACAAATGCTGCGTTCCAACAGTCTAAGAAGTGTGTTTAGGATCCACACTTACCCTCAGGAAGAGTCAGGCTCCCACATCTACTCCAAGTCAGGGTACGTGTATTGTACCAGAAGCACCACCAGCATTCAAATCCCAACCTAGACTGATGCAGATTAGATCTCCACATACTGGTCTGTCTTCTGAAATGTCACCTATTAGATACCACTAGGAGGTCAGGACTAAACTCGTAAGGCTGGCTACTTGCTTGTCATGTTCTTTGGTAGATTAGCTAGCCCATGATACAGGTACAAAGCTCAAGTTTATTTGGACGGTGCTTAAAACTGCCAGTGTACTTCACAGATGACCTGTTTGCAAGTCTACTACTTTAAAACAAACAGATTTCAAATATTTTAAACTTTTGATTTAGCAGGCACATTACTTTGCGTTTCAGAAGTTCACCATCTGCTGGGTTTACCTTTTAAGTCTCTCTGCACTCCGGCTGCGCAGCCATCTGGGATGAGATAATTTGAACAGCAGACTGTTTCCTCCCATGTTACTAGAGAGGAAGAGCAGCCAAGCATGTATGAATAAAGTCTATTTCATTCTTTCAAATAAAGGTGGAGGAGGATGATTTGAAAGTTAAAAAAAAAAAAAGAGGAGGGGGAGGGGAAGCAAACTAAAAATGGCAACCCTACTTTCCTTCTTCAACTGCACCATGACTACCAGAGCTGAGTCACAGTTACTATTGATTATAAATAAGCAGGAGAGAACAGAACCTGACTTACAGATCCCAAGGTGAATTTGCAAGGCTGGCAGCTAGAAAGCTTTTCCATTTGTGACGCAAAAAGGGGAGAAGTAGAATCAGAGCAAAACAAGGAAGTTCAAGTCTACATCTACTGAGTCGTTTTTCCAACCGGAGCCACCTAAGGCATTAGCATCTCTTGTCCATCAGCTGGTGCAAACCAGGCAGCGTGCAGCTACGTGGACTCAGGAGAATCCACATCTTCTGCATTTTCTGTAGGAAAAATCTCGTTAAGATACCAAATGCCAGCATCTTAAGTTAGACGGACACAGAAGGAACTTTAATTATCCAGCATCTTTAAAATGTATCCTTTCACTATCAAGTGGCTTTGAACAGTGAATCCCCTATGCTAATTTTTCTAGAATAAGTTGCAGCTACCTCAAATCACCTTTTTGCTGTTCAAAATACCTCAACAGGCACAGGAGGCACTGAGAAAGACTGTTAAAAAAAACCCAAACCCTCCAGGTTATTTCTATGTCAGTCAAGAAGTTTGTTTTGTTCAACATAGTAAAAACAGTCAGAAGTCGTGGCAGAAGTGGCAGCACTTAAAGAGGTTGCACTGTGACAATTCCCGTGCAAGGTCCTCAAAAGGGAGCTGTGCAACCATTTAAAGAAGAGGTAACTCCGCTCTACAGAAATAACACTTACTGTGTCATTGTCAGCTCTTTCTAAAATCTTGACAAGCCCGTGCTTCAGGCACACTGCTTGTCTTGTTAGAGGGAAGCACCACAACATACATCCTACACTTTGTCAAAAGAGTAATTCTCACCCAAAATCATTGTAAATTTGCATGACAGCACAAAGGTGAATTTGGAAGCAGGAAACAGAAGGCTCTGAGGCTTGCATGCCTCCAGCAGTGCATGGTTTCACTCATTTTGTAACACTAGCTATGAAACTTTGGTAAGCTGGCCACCGACAGCAATTCTTTTTCCACCTGTTAAGGATCAGCTAATACTCTGAAAAACTCCCACGGACAAGATACTCATTCTCCACAAGAAGTTTCACACTAATAGCCAGCCCTTTGAGGAAACTACTCATTGAAATAATTTCAAGTAACAGTAGGTGGAAGGAAGAACAGAGATTACACACTCCATATACAGTGCTGCGGGACCAGGGAGCAGACAGACACAGAGCCCACACCCTGCCCTACAGATACACATCTGGCTCATCCTGGTCTTCTCCAGGAGTGGGGCTCAAGTCCCAATACATGTTTCGGCATCCAGTCTTTCACTCCTCATAGACAAAACCATAAAACCTTCTTGCTGAAATGCTCTCAAAAGGCAAGTTTGAAAAGACAGGGGATTAGGAAACGATCGATGAAAACTGCGGCAAAGCAACAATTTACCCAGCAGGGTTGTCTTGATAAAAATCTGCTCACTGACGATTTCTCTCTCACCTTTGTTATTTAAGTTCATCCATTCCCCACTATCTCGGCCTCAGAGCGCCAGCAATCACAGACCCTACCCGATCCAAAGCCCCCAAGGGGACACACAGCCGCAGTGCCCCGCACAGCATTGGACTCTGGCGCTCAGCAGACAGATGCCGCTGCTTAGGGATAGCTCAAAACCACATACCTTGTAGTGCTGCAAACGCTCACCAGGAGTCCAACAGGAGACAACAAGTTTCACCTATTCCTTGACCCTCAACGAATTGAGGAAGGACGACCGTAACTATCGTCCCTGGGGCGTTCTAAAACTAAGACCTCACCCCGAGGAAAAACACGCTCAGTTCAGGATTAAGCGAACAGAATTGCCTTGCAAGGAGCACGCAGCTGCCTACAGACCAGACTTTTAGGAGCTGCCAAAGCTTACCCCACCTGGCCTCTAGGCTGGCTGTGATCACAAGGAAGAGCAAACAGTCATCTGGCCAGCCATCTGATGTACATAGGAACAACTGGACTGGATAAAGACGACAGTTCATTTTGTAAGAAACAATATATTTTATTTTTCTGACACCACAGCCCTGGCGAGTGGTTTTGTACCAAATTTAATGGAGGTTACACAGAACGTTTTACGCTGGGGAGGAAAAAAAAATAACCACAAAAAAAATCCTGGATAACTTTTAGTGTCTGTTCCACTCCCACATTAATAAAATCACTTGGGGTTTCTAAGAAAAGAAGAATAGGAAACAGTGAGAGAGACTACTGTAGGATGTAACAGTGTCCAAGTCCAGCCCCTTCCTAAAAGTGGGAGGAGTCCCCACATGAGGAGAGGCTCTCCTAGATTTACTCCCCAAAATAACACAATGTATTGCAGCTGCCATAGGAGGAGACAGAAAGGGGACGGAGAGAGAGAGAAGCCTATTTAATAAAGAGTGGGAGGGAGAGACAGAAGGTGCTGGACAGCACGCCATAATTTGAAAAATATGTCCTTAACTTATTATTTATTTCTTTTAAAAGATTCCCCTCACTGAACTTAAGTTCCTTTTTGTGCTTTTCATTAATACTCTGCTCTGAGGTCGTAGTTTGGTTTTTCTATACATTGGAGTTGAAGGAAAATAGTCCGAAGTTCTGAAGATGGATTCTCCACCTAAAGTAAACAGCCTAGAATCCCATTCTCCTCTCACCCCAAAGACTAAAGTCTCTGCTAAAATCCCTTTTACAATATAGTACAGTACACAAAAAACCCCAAAAATAACCGAGAGTCCTGGGAGAAGCCAGTCCGAAGGACGTAAACATACAGAGAATGGTGCAACTTGTGACAAATGGCAATTCTCAAAATACAGCTACAGATTCTCAAAGCAGGTGCCGTCACGGGATACCCAAGTCCACAAAAATAATTTTTAAAAAATAAATCTTAAAAAAAAACAACCTGTTAAAATGAATAATTTTTTTTCAGGTAATTCCATACATTCGAGATTTCCCAAAGCGTCCTCTGGTCTCTTTTCACCTATTGCATGGCCAAACTGTACTCCTGAAGCTCCCAAAAAAGCCCTCAGGACTTGGAATCTCATCTTGACAAGGATCAGAACATCCAGTCTTATGGTAGCAGCTTAAAACATCATGTTCCCTGGGTTTCCAGGGCCTTGGCTAAATCCTCCCATGCCAACGTCAGCAGCCATACCTCGGGGCCTCATCTGGGGGGGAATCATGATGTTTTGTTGGGGTCCCATCATGCCCTGCATTGACATCATCATACCAGGTGACCCTACAGGGCCCGGGTGGCTGTACAGCCCCGCAGGGGCTCGGTCCTTGCCTGGGATCATGCCCACAGCGGCCACGGGGTTACTCATTAGCGCGGGCTGGCCAGGCATTGCCGTTTGTGCTGGTGACATCATGCGGTGGTGTGGCCCCATCATGCCTTGCTGCAGGAAGGCAGGCGGTCTCATCGGGTTATGACCTGGCATGGTCGGAGCCGTCCCAAGAGGGATATCCGGAGTTCCCACTGGCCCGGGGCCCCCCATGCCAGGCAACGTTAGTCCCATCCTCGGGGTCTGCTCTCCTATCATCCCCTGCATGTGGGAGAACCCAGGCCCAGGACCCTGCGGTTGCTTGCGGCCTGGCACCTCCCCACGAGGGAAATACTGTAGTGTCTGGCTAGGCTTCTCCGACGGGATAATCCTGGACAGGTCAAACTCGGGTATTCCCGTGGCTCCAGGACGGATCACCTCCTGCAGCTCTGGATCAGTGAAAACTGAAGGCATATTGTTTCCAAGAACAGTGAAGGAGTCTGGACCGCCAGGGCCTCCAGTCTTGCAAAGTGCTGGATCTGTCGAACTTTGGGGCAGGTTGGTAGGACGCCCCAGAGGTCCTTCTCCGTGGAAGCCCATTCCCGCTGGGAAGTTGCCTTGTCCACCGCTGGGCCCGTTGTGTGGAAATGGCACCTGCTGTGGAGGGGACTGTACGGGAGGGAACCCCTGTGGGAAGCCCAGGCGTCCTTGAGGTACCATTGGAGACTCCTGGGAACCGTGCCCCATCATCGGGTTGTGTGACATCAGGCCGGGTCCCACGGGGACCCCATGAGGAGGTATATTGGGTCCCATAGCATTTGGAGAGGGCATCTGGTTGTTATGGGAAAGAGGCTGGGTCATTCCCATTGGGCTAAGGGTTGGCATTGGACCCACTGGGTTTGGACCTGAAATTCGAGGATTCTGAGAATTAATGCCCATTCCTAGGGAAGAAATAAGGAATCACATTTAGATAACAGCTAATAATAATCAATAAAGCTATCAGAGAGCTTTCTGCAAGGCTACCAAGTCCGACACACACACAAAAAAATCAGTGCTAGTAAAAAACCATCAGTAGTGGCTCTGGAAGATGTTATTTTAACCAGAAAATTGATGCCACCTGCACAGCTGCCTCCCTAAGCTTGTCACTGCCCTATCAAAAAGCGACTAAAGCCCGCTCTGTAAGTAGGATCTCAATCCAACCCATTCCTTTACTACTTCCCTGGCAGTCTAGATGATGCAGGCAGTAACAAACATGCCTGTGACAGATTATCAGCATATGGACACTTGTCCACTGGGAGGTGACTGAATCTCCTTTCAAAACTCAAGAAGTGATAAATCAGGTAACCCTCAAGACTAGGAGGCGGTGATCAATAAGGTTAATGAGCTATCATCATGAACTTATTCAATTAGCCAGTTTCCCCAGGTATATTCAGCCACTCTGATCATTATTGCGTGAAACAGACAGCAAAGCTACAGGTAAACTCATCAAGAATTCACTACCAGTTGCTGCTCATGAAACATCCACTCATCCCCTCTTTCAACTATGTTAATTCAATTGGGTGGAGGGGCTACAGCCTACTTTTCTATTAAATATGTACCCACGAACATTAAGCTATCAGCAGGGATTGGATTTCGTGTATAAACACGCTCACCCACAAGACAGCCCAAAAAGACAATGTTTTATTTCACTTTTCCTTTAACTCTCTCAGGTAGGGACTGGGACAGTTTCCCTCAGTCCTGGCTGAGGTCACCTGCCATTACACATTCCCTATATGAAAAGATGTATTCTTCAAGAAAGCGCTTTAACACTCTCTTCTGTAACAAAGGCAATCACAAAACCCAGGAAAAGGCCAGATGATTCAGTGTCAAAAAAACCAACCAAACAAAAAAACCCAGCTGTGAAGCTTCTATGACACTGCCTTTAAGACAGGGGAAGAATGGTTTCCTCCGGGTAACATGTTGTAGGTCTGACCCTTATTCCCATGAGCAGCCTTCACTCAGACAAGCAATTCCAGTCTGCCTGAGTAGAAATCTCTCCCATACACAAGGGTTTTCAAGATTAGACACTTTCTGAAGAACAGATACTTTCTGGACAGAAAAAAACTGGTTGCAAGAAGAATTTCCATCTCCCCATTTCAGAGAATTGCAACTGCCTTCCTCAAAAACAACCCATGGCTATATATTCTTCAAGGTTTTTCCCCTCTCACCATCTTCATCTGATGAAGCTTCCATAAAAATCACCCTCACTGTATTGCCTGATAGCTTGGGCTTATGTTTCTTTAAGTTTCTTACCTGGTACGCTGTTCATAGGTGGCAAGTTTGGGGAGCGTGCTGGAGGGGAGTCATCATCCGAGCTGGCCACAGTTTTGATGGCATCATGATAGAGCGGTGTAGAGCTAGGCATGGCAAATTTAGACATCCTGGACATCATAATGGAGAGGGGATTCTGGGAGAGGGTCGGCTCTGGAGGCATTGTGTAAGGACTGCTAGAGGGAAGATTTCCAGGGAGAGTCACAGGAGCAGACTGGCTGACTGTGGAAGGAGGTGGACCACCTGGGGGGGG